GATTTACCCGCCAATAGTTGCGGAATTTTACTGAGATTGGCATTTGAGCACCAAAAGATTAGGATATCAACCAACAACAGACGGGATGTCCCGCAAAACGACTGGGGGAACTGACAGAGAAAGGGGGTCTTGTCTTGTGATCAAGAGAAACAAGGAATTTACTGTCAAGAAGTCAAGTCAAGACACATTAGTTGCCCTTGTTCCCCTTGTTGGTTCTTCTTGGGGCTTTCCGACACCACCCAACATACTCGAGGTGATTAAATTGTAGCAGCTCCCCGGCAGGACGTGCCCTGCAACTCTGGGTTATGGCCTCAGCAATGCTACTTGGAGGTGGAAATACTTATGACATAGTTACGGAAGTAAAAACATATTAAATCATGTATATATATAAAGGGAAATGTTATAGCTAGGTCAGAAGTAGGTGTTTTTCTTTTTTTGCATTCATCATGCGTGCGGACCTTTTGCCGTTTAAATAATTTGTTTGAATCCTCACGGACCCATTCCGCAGGCAGAAGGTTTCTGCTTTGGTTCCACTTAACCTAACAAGGAGGGCCGACACTGTGTTGATACCTGCTGTTTCTTTTACTTTAGTGGGGCCGACACGCGACCTACCTCTGCCACACCCAGGGCCGACACCAGGCCGCCGCTCCCCTTTTGAAGTCTTGTTGTCTCAGAGATAAACAACGCTGGGAAAATCTTATGGATGTAGATAGAGTTATTTTCCACTGCCATCTTTGACTTCTGAAGGTACTAGCTACCCCCAGTGACAGTGCAAAAACATTGGAATGAAGCAGCTGGTTCCCTGGCCATGTTCAAGGACCTACCCGGCTTTACCCCACTTGTCCCCACTTTACCCACTTCCCCCAAGCCGAACGTTTTGAAACTGAACAGGATAGTTATAGGGTTTATGACATACCTAGCTTCAAAACCATATACTAGATATGGCTTAGTTAAAACTAGGCAAAAGCTAGTTAGTGTTCTTTTTTGTTCAGAGGTGTTTGCATGTTTGACCTATCCGTTCTTTTGGTGGAGAACAGGAACGTGGGAGTGCAGTAGTGTTTACCCAGGCTATTTTGAGATCCATGGCCATGACCTAGAGGCTAACTTTCGATGGCCAGTTTCAGTCGGCAATCTTTGGCTCGCGTACCGAGGGGTCTGCTTTTCAGATTCCCAAACCACGACCAAATGGTGTTTGTCCCTTCCTCAGTGGTTTTTCTGGCAGCTATCTAACCTCCAGCATTAAGGAAATTTCTATGGCATTTTAGTGCATGCATTGTTTTTCTTGAAAACCATTGGGCCAAAAGTGAAATTCAACATTATTCAACTCTTGATTTGTTTAAAATCCCTACAAGTTGGTGTTTTAACGCCATCACTGTGAACGAAACAAACTCAGGCGAGGATGCATTCTTCGTGAACACCCATGGTCTGGGTGTGGCGGACGGAGTCGGCTCCATGGTGGGCAAGACTCAGAGTCGGCGGGTACTGCAGTTAAATGATAGCCGCAAGGGGTTTGAATTGGTTATTGGACCTTTGTGTTTCTCAATTTACAAATGTGTTTATATTTGCTCAACTATAATGGGGGTATGACCCTGCACATTGCTGGTTTAACCCATCAAATCAGGATTGCATTGCAAAAAACATGGGGAGACGGCTCCCACAGTTAGGTACATTAGCTGGTTACCAGTAGTACCGCACAAGGCGGTGGCGGAAGTTTCAAAAGTCTGAGGGTGCAAAGTCTGTGGGTGAAAAATCTGTGGGTGAAAAGACTGTGTGCGAAAAGTGTATGGGTGAAAGTCTGTGGGTGACAAGTATATGGTTGAACAGCCTTGGGCGTGAAAAGTATATGGGTGACACGTCTGTGGGTGAAAAGTATGTGGGTGAAAAGCCTACGGAAAATGACTCGCTGGGTGAAGAGTCTCTGGGTGAAAAATATATAAGTGAAAAGTCTGTGGCTGAAAAGTCTGTGGGTGAAAGGTCTGCGGGTGATAAGTCTGTGGGTGAAAAGTGTGGGTGAGAGGTTTATGGTTGAAGAGTCCGTAGGTGAACAGTCTGTGGGTGAAAAGTCCGTGGTTCAAAAGTATATGGGTGAAACAGGTATGGGTGAAAAGTCTGAGGGTGCAAAGTCTGCGGGTGAAGAATCTGTGGGTGAAATATCTATAGGTGAAAAGTCTGTGGGTGAAAAGTTTCTGGGCGAAAAGTGTATGGATGAAAAAGTACATGGGCGAAGAAAAGTATATGGGGCAAAGTCTGAGGGTAAAAATTCTATTGTTGAAGAGGCTCTGGGTGGAAAATCTGGGGTGACATGTATATGATTGAACAGTCTGTGGGGGTGAAAGACCGTGGGTGAAAAGTCGCTGGGTGAAAAGTATATGGGTGAAAAGTCTGTTGGTGAAAAGTATATGGTGGGAACAATCTGAGGGTAAAAAGTGCATTGGTGAAGAGCCTCTGGATGAAAAGTCTGTGGGTGAAAAGTGTGTGGGTGAAAAACCCGTGCAAAAGTTTACAGGTAAAACGGGTATGGGTGAAAAGTCTGAGGGTGCGAATCTGTGGGTGAAAAGAGCGCGGGTGAAAAAACATGTGGGCAAAAAATGTATTGGTGAAAACCCGTTGAAAACTCGAAAAATATAACAATATATATATATATTATATATAATTATATATATGTGAAAGTCTGAGGGTGCAAAGTCTGTGGGTGAAAAGCCTGTGGGTGAAAAGTCTGTGTGCGAAAAGTGTATGGGTGAAAGCCTTTGGGTGAAAAATATATGGGTGACACGTCTGTGGGTGAAAAGTCTGTGTGTGAAAAGTCTGTGGGTGAAAAGCCTGTGGGTGAAAAGCCTGTGGGTGAAAAGTCTCTGGGTGAAAAGTCTGTGCAAGAAGAATCTCTGGGTGAAGAGTCTCTGGGTGAAAAGTATGTGGATGAAAAACCTGTGGGTGAAAAGTATATGGGGGAAAAGTCTGTGGGCGAGAAGTGTATGGTTGAACCGTTTGTGGGTGAAAAGTATATTGGTGAGAAGTATGGGTGAAAGACTCCGGGTGAAAAGTCTGTGGGTGAAAAGTATTTGGGCGAAAAGTCTGTGGGTGAAAAATCTTTTGGGGAAAATGGGGGTAGGTGGGATGCTGGCTTTCGTTTCCCCCATTCTCAGGTATACATATAATGACCAGATCCACATTATTTTTTAGGGTTTTATCACCATGTTCCCATATGGGTGTTTCCATAAATGGGAACACCCTAAAATATATTATAATGGAAAATCCTTTTAGATAATGGATGATTTAGGGGTCCCCCCATTTACGGTGGCACGAGCAAACAATGTGATCAACGGTTACAAATTGTTCCGGTTGTAAAGTGTAAATTTTGCACGTTGCCTGACAAACGCATGGGGATTTTCATTTACATTCTTTTACATGTGTGATTCAGTTTTCGTGTGATTGGGCCTTTGAGCCAACGTTGCTGGTGAACAATAAACGTCGGTTTGCAGACACATGTTCCTTTCGTTTTTCCGGCATACCACCACGTTAGTTATAGCGTACGGCAGCGAAAGGAAACATGTTATCAACGCCGTCAATTTGTTGACGTTGGAACACTCATGTTTTTTTACATTGTTTGTGAACCAAACAAAAAATGCAGGAACGTGCCCTACACGGTTCAATAATGATCAAATTTGCAGAGATATGTCTGCACAGTTCAAAGCAAAATTCTCTTGACGAGCTACCCAGCACTGTAGCAAAAAGAAACCGTGTGATCAACGTTTACACATTTTTGAATTTGGAACGTAAAATTTTATTGCCTGGTGGTGCGAGAGTCAGGTTGGTTTGCACGAACCATTTGTATACCAAATGCACTCACCAGATTGAATTTCATACCTTCCACATGCAATGTTTTCTTCCACGCATCCCCCTAACAGGTTCGTTAATGAAGGTACAACTGGTACAACGCAAAATATATTTAATAAAGGCCTTTCTTCCTAAAACTGTTTGGTGATGCACAAGTGTGATGCTTACATATTTGTTTTTGTTTTTGTTTCGCACGGCCAACGCGCAACATGCATACTTGGAGATGAAGGGTCCCTGACCGGGCCCTTGTTTGTTTCAAGTTTTGATTGAAACCATATGAATTGCGCGGCCAAGCAAACAAACCAGTTCGCAGCGATGGCAACATGTTTCCTTTTAGTAACCTGAGAATCGGATTCGTTGGTTAGAGACTTGCAAATAAGACCTATGAATCTGGTCTGAAGGCCACTGAGAGACCTCCTCATTCCCATGAGTTTCCCATACCACTACTAGGTGATCGTGTTGGAATCATAATCTGTAGCATTGAGAGCCCCCAGAAATTATGGCAGGACGCCTTTGGAGACGTGCAGACAGATCTGCAAGAGGGGACGTTAACATGCCCCCCCCCACCCCACCCCATCAGCACCGTAGAATCATGTCACGTAGCAACGATCCCAGAGATCTCTGCAGCGTAGCAACATATACTGTACGAAGTACAAGGAGCGTTAACATGCCCCCCTCCACCCCACCCCACCCCAACAAAACCTCGGAAATTGCATTTTTCAAAAACGAGCGTTTTACGAGCACGGTTTTCGGTCCGCAGGCATAAACTTGTAACATTGGGACCAAACTAAGGATATTTTGGGATAAGTACTCATCACCTTTTCACTTGTTTCATGTTCAATCTTGGCCGCTCATTGGGATGCGCGGGCGGGAAAACCCAAGATATAGCTACCCACTCACAAAGCCTCCCATTTCATTGACATTTCCGGCAATGAACCACGACTGGCTGGCAATAAGGGTCATGGACCTAAATGTCGTAGTTTTTTTTCAGTTTGATTCCCAGAGGATATTGGTTCAATCACCATTTTTCATTGCATTTACATATTCATCTGGACCCATGGTGGTTACATTTTTCTCGTTGCTGAAAACCAGCGAAATCTCCGGCTCGGGCAGCTTCATTTTGACCCTGGAATGCATGGAACTCTGGGATGGGTCCATTGCCATAGGCGGCAGCTGCACCTAAAGAGGCCCGCGCTTGCGTTTCATGGGGATTGGAATTCACCGTGCATTCACCCTCTGGTTCACCGTGCATTCACCCTCTGGTCAGCCAAAACACATAGAAAATCATCATTTGTCATAGGTAAATCGTGGTAAATTACCTGTGTATATATATATGGGCTATGTTCCATAGCTGTTAAGTCAAACAACCAAGGGTAAACCAATCAAAATAGGCTTTTAATCTCAAAAACATGTTGCGAGCAGAAAAATGTTTTTAAGCGAGCAAAAAAAGTTTTTAAGCAGCACACACACATACACAAAAAGGGGTCTTACGGTAAAAGCTTATGTTTTATCCAACTTAACTTGGGAGTGATAATGAGATGGTTAATGATGATTATAATAGAAGATGATCATTATTATGATCCATGATTAATCACTAGTACAAGAAGATCTGGGACTTCTTCTGCAGGCTTTTCAATACGGTGATCGGTTCGTTGTTGTCGTTGCGCATCAATTTGGATCGCATGTTTCACCAGCCAACTTCATATGAAGAAACGCTTCCCAAAAACCTTGCATCAGGCAGCAATATCATTTTGGCAGCCCAACAATGGTGGTATTGTTGGAGCGATGGGTTATTACATGCTATTACTCATGAAACTTTGATTCAGATTTGATGTGGAATTCTCCAAATTACTCCTCAAAATTGGAGTTTTAATCACAAAAAAATGTTTTTTCTTAACCAAAAAACAGTAATGTGGTTAAAACAATGCCATCTGCACCATCCCCCAGTCATCCATAAATAGGTGTTGTAAACCATTCCCAGTCATGGGTGGTACACGTGGCATTGTTTTAACCACATGACTATCAATATTGATCACTGATCACATATTAATCACTTAACCACAATCAATATTAATCACATATTAATCACTATTGATAACTATTAGTCCCAGCTGTTGTGATATATCCCATGGTCCCATGATATGTTCCCATTATATCCCCATGATATTGGCTTTCCACTAGGTGGGCGACCCAGCTGGTGACGATCCAGGCGTGACGAGCCAACCGGGATTTCCATGAAAAATATGGGGCTTCAGCAATTTTTCTTTGGGGAATATATGGAAACTGGTTTGTGGTTTGGAACATGAATTTCATTTTTTCCATTCAATTGGGAATAGTACAGTAATCCCAATTGTCTTTCATATTTTTCAGAGGGGTACGTATACCACCAACAAGGAAAGTCATGATAAATAATAGGTGTTATCAATTTCATTGATCAACACACATATCTTAAAAAATACGTTTGACATATTTGTCACCATTGCGACCTGCTAAAAAACAGGGCGCTGGAGATTTGAAAAAATGTGTTTCACGACGTGGTGTCATGGTAATGAAGAATCCCTCAGCAAATGGTCCTGTTAGGGTAAACCATCATTTATTTATGCTTGGAACCTGGGTTCCAGGTAAGTTTGGACAACTCATTTTTGGCCATTGGCCTATGCTCAAGTGCAACATCCCAAACGCTCAGGTAAAAGAAGATCAAAGCGTCATGTGACACTACATCCTTTTCAACATGTCCCATTTGCAAAATATTTGTATATGTGTGGATTTGTGACATTTGTCGTACATTTGTGATATTTGAGATGTTGTATAAATGTGTGGATTCGCCAGCTAGATCCTCATTTTATATCTCCATGAAAATTATCCTATTATCATTATTAACTGTATTATTAAAGAATATTCTCATTTAATCCCATTATCATTATCAATTTTACATATGACCATTATAATAAAAGATCATTAAATGTATCTATTATAATAAATGTAACTATAGATCCCATTTTCAGTCATCATGAAAAATCACCCCTTCACATCCTGAAATCCCCAACGACCCATGTCTTGAGTTACTCAGGTGCGTTACCAGAGGAGCCACCAACGTTACGACTGGATGCGGATGTTCAGCAAAAAAAGTTGATAGCAACGTGGGATATGTTTATGGAATATGATGGGAATATACTGATATAATTTGGGATAAACAAGTTTTTTTAAAAACAAAATGGATAGATATAATCTGGCCAATGTAGATCCATACGTGGATATTGGAAATCCGTGGAAACCAAGCGATCTTTTAGATGTGATGTGGGATGAATAAATTATATTAGTAATCATGTTTAGCAATCACCAGTGGATATTGGGATCACATACCAACCAATCCCAATATATCATAGCCTTATCTGACCTGCTTGACTGGGCCGTTTTGATGTTTGGGAATATAGGGGAAAGTGGCCATATTACCTTTAAACATTTTATCATAGATACCAACATTACCCAACCCATATATAACTTGTATTTTCCTGTCAGATAGGTAAGCGACTGCAAAGTCTGTACATTTGAAGACAATGGCAATATTTGCAAAGGAATGAAGATTGGTGTTTTCACATGTCTTCACAATGGGATTGAAAACAGCTAGCGGGCCGTTGAACCATGAAGAAACTGTGGTTGACGCATGTTGACGCAGCAAACGTCAAACGTGTACCCGATCTATTTTCGGTTGTTTTCTATATAACGTAAATATATATATATACACCATTCCCCACTAAAACACCGGTTTGATATGATTATCATTATCAATAATTGTACATTGAAATTAGTGTATATTTATCCCTTAATATCATTGATATTCCCGGTTGGTATTCATTGATTACCACTTAATCTTAATATCACTCAATATCACTCATTTTCATGATATCCTTTGATATTCATCAATATCACTCAACATCATTATTCATAGATATGCATAGTACTCCCACTTCCCAACAGCAGCTGCTGGTTTTGTTCTCCAGGAGCCTCCTGTTGGCGTCCAGGACGGGGTGACGTCCAGTACCGTTGAAGAGATTTATGATGAACTATCTGATGAACTCACCAATCAATTTTGGATAATTCATTGGAACAGAAATACAGAAATGACATTGCGCTAAGTTGGTTGAAATATGTTGAAATTGTAAGCCAACAGGTCAACGTTGTGGTTTATTTAACTGCATATAAAAAGAAACACTTCAGCTCGATTTGTGTACGCAAGGGAGCTTCTATAGGGAGGCCCGTGAAGTGCAAGCATCTATGAATTTACCATCACCTTCAGCCTTCCTGGTCTTGGGTCTTGGGGACCCCCAAAGCATCCATAAAATGTGTCTTTTTTAACTGGTCTAGTGGTTTGTTGTAGTACCTATATAGTTTTCAGAAACACCACAATAGTAAAATTGGCTGTGTTTCTTTTGGGGTTTAACACATTAATCTTGGAACAGATCCAATCAAATGATACGGACAACAGCACCATTGGACCATGAGTCTTTGGAATATTGTAGTATTAAGCAATATTTATCTATAAAGCATAATAAGCAAATACACATTTTTACCATATTCAACCATTTGTTGGTTTTAACCAATATTACTAACCATGGGTTAATTAACCATACTGATTATTAACCATATATTAACCATATATACTATTCAACCATAGTATTAACCATATATATATATATATATATATATATATATATATTATGGTATATTGAACCGTAAGAACTCCCACCTTTCTCCCACCATTTCCAAACGGTGTTTTCCGCGTGACGCCGGTGTTGAAAAGGAGGCCAGGCCCAAGCGGCGGACGCGCAAAGCGCCGCGCCCGGCAGGTTCGAGTTCAGAAGGGAGGTCAAGTTCCATGGGAGGTCAAGTTCTTTTGAACAAATGGGATTTCTTGTATAGGAAAATGTCGAATTTATAGTGGAATTTTGGAATTACCCATTGAAAATTGTGATATTCCATAGTTATGTTAGTTTACCAGAGGGTAATCACCATGGTAGTAACCATCATTAGCTGGTTTATATAGATATATATGGGTATATATGGGTATGATTATCATGGCTTAATGATGGTCAATAATGGTTGATCATGGTTAATACTGGTTGACAATGGTTAATAATGGGAGAATGGTTAATCTGTTTGATGGTTTGGAACATGAATTTTATTTTTCCACATCTTGGGAATTTCATAAGCCCAACTGACCAACTCATTTTTTCTAGAGGGGTAGGTATACCACCAACCAGAATAGGATTTATCGTTACTGTATAGGTCCATGGGATTTCCCATTCATGAAATGCTACTTAGAAATATGGTGATGTATGAATAGTTATGATGATTTTAATGGGATATATATTTTTGGGATTTTGTGTGTATCTAATTTGGATGTCATTTGAATACCGTGATTTATAGTAGGATGTAATGGGAGATTTATCACTGACCAACATATTGATATTTAATGGATATAATGAGGATATTATGGGGATATCATGTGAATATAATGGAATTTCACAACAAATATAATTATCCAGTATATTCATCCATATTCACTCCCTTAGTTTACCATTAATATACATCGATAGACGTTTATATACATCAATAATCATTTCCCCCACTAAACACCCTCCGGAAACTATGGTTTAGTGCGGAATGTACACATTTGGCACCATCATTGGGGTCAAATGACATATTTGGGACATTTTTGGACCATAGAGTGGAGGTCTTTCGTATTGGGGCGTGATTATATCCCATCAATCTATAATGTAATATCTAATATATTATCAACATATCACCATCTCAAAATAGCTAAAACCAATGAAATGTATTAAACCATAACATTATCTGGGTGCACTATAGCAAGGCTACATTTGACTACGTCCATGTATGTTACATCCTTATCCTCATCCTCGTCCTCATCCTCATCCTCATCCTCATCCATCTCCATCTCCATCATCACCATCATCATCATCATCACCAGCATCATCGTCGTCGTCGTCGTCATCATCATCATCATCGTCCATATCCATCATGCTGTCGTTGCATGTCATGGTCGTTGGTGTTGGTCTAAAATATCAAAATCCAGGCTCCCCAGGGCCAGGAACTGTTCAGCTTCATCACTGCGGGTTGCATTTGAGGATGCCCAGAACTCAGTGCCCAGTGAGTGACTGCACCTTGTTTCAAAGCTTCATGGTCAGTATTGTTCAATCTTTAGCCAGCCCTTGTCTCGTGCCAGTACTCTAGCTGCAGCTTTGGCCACATTTCCCCAACAAGTTGAGCCGCAATGTTGTCCAAGTGCTTTACCTTGCTTGGCTGGTGAATCCGGAAGAGGCTCAGGCTCTACTGCATCATGGCCTTAAACCCTAAATTCAAAAAAAAACAATGCGCTATTGAATTTGAATGCAGCCCATCGTCGTCGTGTCATTGCAACTGTTTGACGAAGGCAATGTGTTGGCCCTCACATGCGGGGCTTTGATCCCTGGGTATTAAAAGCCTGCAGCAATCTGAGTGAAAAGAGATTTGTCAATGTACTTTATCATATCGCAGCGGCGATCGGTTGTGTTTAAGTTCCCCATGACTTGACCCAGGAGCAACTTGGACGCTGGATTTCCTGACTTTCGAGATGAAGAATAAGCTGTGGGACATCATAAACCTACGGGACGAAGTTTCTTGTCAGCAGCAGATTGAATGTCTTCAGCTGTTTCTGGTGCACACTCCAGCGAGGCTATTTCCATCCTGAATGGAAATGGGCTTACGACTTGGCCAGAGAAGGTGATCATCTTTGGATGGGGTACCAGCAAGAATTGGTAATTGGTCGTTGCGCCAGTGCAGGGTTAAAGGTGTGGCCATCACCTCCCTTGCAGAGCTGGCTTTTGCTTTCGAAGATCGGAAGGTCTGCCTTCACAACCCGCAGTTCTTGCTGCATAAGATCCTGGTAGTTAAGTTTGCCATGCATCTGCCTTCAATGAATGTTTGCAGTGCGCACACTTAAATTTAGGAAAAAATCTTGGCATCTTCAAAGAGACCATGCTGAATGCAAGTCGCCTGGCTGTTATAAATTCGATAATTTGAATTTACAAAAACATGTTGAATGTCAATATCGTCATGCCCAGGTCTTCAATCATCCCAGGAGCTGGCAGACTGTGCAGCAGATCCTGCGGAACCCTGCAAATGTTGTTCTCATCAGTTGGAGTGCACTGGCGCGATCGTGCTAATCATCTTTGCTTTCTTGTCTGCGCCTTTTCATATGTGGTGAGTTTGAATTGTCGTCGTCATTGCAACACAATTACTCCCTGTCACAGACCTGTTTGAACTTACAACTGCTGTCTCCCAAGGCCATTGGGCGTGATGTTTTGATGTATTTGCCAGCTCTGGGGCTCTGGGGTGGGGATGGGAGCAATGTGCACAACATGCTCACCAATCCTTTTTTCCAGTGATCAACTGATGAGTTTCTTGGCTGGGGTGTCAGTCAGATGTGAATTGCTTTCAGCTAGAGTTGTGACCCTGGTCGTCATGCGCGCGCCTGATTTAGGTGGTTCGACATCCAGAATGCCATCATGAAGAGCTGGAAGCCAAACCCATGTTTGACTCTGATTCAACTTTGTCAACAATTCAGTGACGGCTGGGATTCAATGTATGGCTCGAATTTGTTTCTTGGAATTTAATTCTAAACCAAGGAAATCGGAATTATATAAATGACATGGAGTCATCAAATCCTTTTCAACCGCACTTGGAGCGAATCTGCTGCCACTGAAGGCTATGGGAGCATTATCCGAAGGTGATGCAGAAACCCAGGCCATCATCATCACCATCAGCCATTCATGTTGCAGATGATGATGGGGCTTCTCAGCCACCTCCGCTGCCGCTACCCCCGTTTCCATCTTCTCCGACCTCACTGGTAGCGGTGGATCCTGTGATGACTCATTGCCAAATTATATTTGGATCCACTTTTGCTTACCAGCTGGTCTACCAGTTTTTGCCCGCTGTCTCAGCTCAGGAAAGAAATCCTGGATGACAAATCGATTTCTCCAGGGGTCCAGGACTATTTCTTTCAGCTGGCTGGGATGAACATTTTGAGAGCCGCCAGGCTATTGACACTTGGCAATACACAGAAAACGGCTCAAATACATTTGAGGCATTGAACTTGAAGTTTTACTACGACAATGACAATCAACAGCTGAGGATGCAAATTTCCAACCCCAATGCGCAAATTACCAATCGCACTGGGTGGCTTGTCAAAGGTATCGGTAGCTTGGAACAGGAGTGATGATGACCGACAGGTTAACCATTCATGACTGCGTCGCCACTAGACCTAGATTTCAATTTGATAACAAACATTGCCTGAGGCAAAGATCTAGTTCTGTTGTCGGATGATGGTGACAGTGGATGTGACAACCAGGGAACAAATGATCTCATCAATCGATCTCATGGATCTTTTCCATAGGATCTCTTCCATCCATATCTATATATCTATATATATATATATCTAGCTATATATATATATATATATATCATCGAATTATCTCAATAAAACATAAATAATACTCATAAATAAAACATATTTAAAACCTATATAAACATTGTATACATACGTATATATATATATACATTTATATTGAATATAAAAAATGTTCATCGTATCCAATCAAAATTGACGAGCTCCGGGAAGTTTTTTTCGGTTTCCAGGCGAGGCGTCCGAAGCCAAAGTGGAGGACCGGGCCGGGCGACGCGGCGAAGTCGGACGCATGGCAATGGAACACAATTCCCAGGGTTTCTAGCTGAGAAAAAATGTGATTGTCATGAATTAATGATGGTCAATAATGGTTGATCATGGTTAACTCTCGATATATATATATATATCATTTATTACCTTTCCATAGTTATATGATATATGCTGCTTGTATATCTAATAAACCGCTTTGTGATCTATACTGGTTGGTGATTTGGAACATGAGTTTTAATTTTCCATATATTGGGAATAATCATCCCAACTGACGAACCCATTTTTTCAGAGGGGTAGGTATACCACCAGCCAGTATTGTTATTTGTAAATTTATACTAATACACCTTCTTTAATTTATGTATTCGCCTATCTATATATATATATATAAATATGCTAGCCCCCCATAAGGTCTACTTTTGATGCTTTTGTGACATGCATGATCAAACTCACTGCATTTATACATGATTTGACAGTTGCATAGTGATTGTTAATGATTTATTAGGATATCCCATGGGATAAAAATTGTTCACCTGGGTTTGCCGAGTCGGTGAACGACAACGCAACGTCTTGAACCTGATACTACCACTGTCCGAGCGGAGAAACCTGGCTGCGTTTCTGCACATCCAGGGGCCAATCATGGAGAGTGGCATCGAAACCGACCACATGCAATGGTTGACCCCAAAAATGGGATTTCTCCGCCGTGACTCGTCCCACACTTCTCCTCCGGGTTTCCACCAATCTGCCAGCGTTCGGGTTCGAACTGGGCCTCGCTCTTGAAGGACAGTTTGGATTCCAAGTTTCTCTCACGTGATCTCACATGTGTAGTTGTTTGGGCCATTTCTTTTCACATGCGTGGCTCTTAGCACCATATGGCACCATTGTTTCCCCACCTGCCAGGTGATCCTTCCTTCTTGTCGAAACTTGAAGTCTAGAGTCTAGACCCATCGGCTAAGCTACCAACCAATCGAAGATTTCAAGTTTGGGTTGATTCAAGACAGATTAGACGATAAGTCGATGGGGTCAATCAACAAACATTGTTGTTAACCAGCAGGTGATTTTACCGACACACATATGTGGAGAATGGGAGGTTGAAGAGCAAAGACATGGACTTTCACATTGACATGGAAAAGATATGAAAAGATAAGATATGCACAACACCGAGACATGGGGATGACATCAACATTTGATGGGATTATGAAACAAAACTAACAAACATGAGCAACTCACCAGTCCAACAGCGTACGCTGATGATATGGCCAAGAAATTGTCAGTAAATTGTGAGGAGATCTGGACAACATTGCAATTAAAAGTATACTGGAGAGTGGGTGGATGTGATCAAGAATCAGGTGGCATACACACTGTGAATCTACCGGTTATTTGACATAGCGAACTGGAAGCCATGGTCCATAGAAACAGATGATTTTCCCAGCGAACTAAACCTCCATAATCCCAAGACGGGACAGATTTTTGGTGCAGGCTGTTGGATGTACAAAAAACGACATGGAAAATGGCCATAGAAAGTTCGTTGATTTACCCATGAAAATAGCATTGTGGATCTTTCCAGTTCGTTATGTAAACGTTTACCAGAGGGTATATGGTGATCAGTGTAATCCATATACGAAAATCAGTTGTGTCTGGTGGATCATCCGGAGGCATTACCGCACATATCAAGGATCAAACAGAAGCACATCCTGAAGGATGATTTGCGTTTTTTTGGGGGACAACGATCCAATGCTGGATACCATGTTGATACTATATAATACTATTTCCCGCATGTTGAAATATCCAAATAATGGGTGTAATATGGATATATATATATATGGCTACTATATTGATATTTGGGTGTGAACTTAAGTGGTTTTTGCTCAATGGATAAGCCTGCCATGAACCATGGATGCCAGGAGCCTGCGCCAGAGGTCGGGTGAGCTGATCCAACCCAGTGGACCAAAATGGACCCCAACGATGCATCACAAAGAGGGATAGTTGCAGATTGAATTCATGTCCTGGTATAATAGGTTATAAGTTATATATACATATATAGTAGCTAGGCCCTCTAAAAATGCCAAATACCCTATATATGTATGTATGTATATATATATACATATATATATATGCATATATATATATACATATACATAGAGATATATATATATATATTTACATATATATATATATATACATATATATATATGTATATATATATATATGTAGTAACTATAGGCCCTCTAAAAATGCAACCCTAAGCTATGGCCACTGAAAAATATGGCGGAAACAGGATCAACCCAATTCGATTTGGGGGCAAAATATCTACAAGTTGCCCCCCCCCGTAAGAATGGTTCATCAACCCCATGAAAACTAGAAATATTAAGATATTATGATATATTGTTTATCTTCCATAGTTACCATAGTTATTGGAGTCATGCCAAGTCAACTATCTAGATTATCTAGGCCCACCTGGTAGCCAGCAAATAGGTGGCAGTTTGAACGCTTGGTCCCATGATATCAGGGATGTAGTGGCAGATGGAAGCAGTTGATGGCTTCCCACCCCCAGGCTCCTGACCTTTTTGATTGGGAGTGAGCTACACTTGGGCAACAGCCAAGATTTTTGATGGTTGAACCATTCAAATGTCCGAAAACTGGATGTGGATGATGTGGTTTATTTAAGTTTTGAGACCCAGTTGTCTTCTGCATTTTAAATGTTGTTTGGCATTAATAAACCCTCCTCACGTGACCCTACAGATTCTTCGGCTTTTCAATTTGGGATGATCCTACAAGTGACCCAAAAAGATCCTCATGTGACATCCAAGGGTTCGGCCTGAAATGTTGCGCAGTATGTCCAGTTGATTCCTCTTGTGTTTTTAGTTTCCAGTCATGTCCAGTAATTTCCAGATTTTAGTTTTAAGAATTACATCTTAAGCGTAAGTTCCTCTATGTTCATTTTCAGGGTTCTTCCAACTCATTATAGGTAAATGATAGCCACTTTTGGAAGGCAAATCGGTCATTTTACCTCTTAATCTTACCCATTGTAGCCCCCCTTGTACCTGGGGTGGTTGGAGCAAGCCTTAAGTCACCATTCATGATGATTAATCAATGATTAATCACTATAATTGTTAAACATTCATATTTATCCCTGTGAATCATCCAAGTTTCTTTGATTTTCACGTTCGTGTGCGATCGTCTTCGTTGGGAACCCCATTTCTCACCTGTCAGCTCCACCACAACCCTGCCCGCCATTGAAAAAGACCGTCAGGCTGCGGCGGAGAAGGAGGGAGCCCCGCCGCCAGAGGGAAAGGAAGGCGCGAGAGCCAGTGGCTGGAAAAGGAGATTATGAGGATATGATCGGGATGAATGGAATCAGGAACATAACTGGTTGGTGGTTTCAAACATTTTTTATGTTCGATTTCATATATGGGATAATCATCCCAACTGACGAACTCATTTTTCAGAGGGGATGGTGATTACATACTTATTCATGGGATGATTAATGGGAACAAATGTAAATTAATGATCATTAATAATTGTGACTAATGAAAAAAAACTAGTGATTGATCATTGATCATTATGAATAATGATTATTATAGTGATTGATTATTGATAATAGTGATCATTGATCATCATGAATGGTGATTACTCCGGATGAATTACAACGACCTCACCTCGTGAAGTCATAGGAATAATGCTTAGTATATAAGGGGAATTATCCCCGAATGGCCATATGATAACGGCCGTTTTCAGTTTGGTGAATTACTCTAATTCAGCCAGATGTCATGGGAGAAGATATAACATTCGATAATGGGAATGTATGTTCCTGGGACTATTAATGGACAAATTGAATGCTATTGGAATATGTACATGGCTTGATGGTGTGTAATGAAGATATTTTTGAATTAATGGGACTATTTGTGTATATGTTTAGTTTCCATTTGGTTTGAAACATGAGTATATAAAGGGACATCGTAGGAAATCATCTATCAATATCGGATATATAACAACCCAACAATGTGGCAATTGGCTTTGTCTGAAGCTGCGAATCTACCGCAATGATGGTCATTCTCATATGGAAAATGATGATTTTGTTCAGCCACATGTTCATGGTATTGTGGTTTCCTTTTTTCTCAACTCAGCCCCACGCTGGATTTGGTTCTCAGCCATGTTGCAGGAAGATTTGATCAGTAGCCTCTGGTTAGCTATGTTACATAACTATGGACGCCATGTCCCATGAAAATAGCTTAGATGATTTAGATGATGATTTACCTATTAAACGTTTAATTAGTGATGTTCCACTTCAGTTTATCCAATAGTCGTAACCAGCGGGTATCATTCATGGACTATTAGATTAAACCCAAGAGAACCTCATATGACCATGGTTGCAAATGATAGACAGAGATCTTAGATGCTGCAATGTCCTTATCCCAGATGCTCCATGGTGCTGGAATATTTACCTACATTTGGGTGAATGTTGGTATCTTTGGATCCATTGTTATGACATTGTTTTAGTCATACCCAGCTGGAGTTCACGAGTTCACAAGACCTGCATTTCACCAAGAAATTGAATGTTACCAGCCAAATGGCGCCACTTTTTGTGGGCCAACCCATGGTTTTCACTTCAGCAATAATAGACCATATGTCTATACATTGGAATCATGTTCCAAACTTTCTGTAGGTCAAGAGTGAGTACAGATGTTTTGTACAGAAGGTCACCAAGAGCAGGGTGGGATCGGTTCGGTTCGGTAACTTGCTCAACACTGGCAACTAGAAGCGATGCGTTATCGAAGGAAGTTTAGAAGTCAAACTTCCGACAATATTGACAGATGAAAAGAAGAGGTGGTAAGAGTCAAAGAAGAGAAGAGAAGAGAAGAGCAGAAGAGAGAAGATGATAGAAGAGAAAGAGTCAGAAGAAAGAAGATGCAGGTGCGCGAAAAAGGTAAAGTCGCGAAACACTGTGTTTTTCCAATGATTTGTGTCTCCGGAGGGTCGAAAAGTAGGCTCGCTAAAGCGGCGGGTGCGGAGCTATCTGACCAGACGAGAGATGAAAAATTGCACGCCGTTGTGGCGCGAAGCACATGTCGAAGTCAAAATGTAGAAGACAAAACCGGTTCGGACCACTTTTGGAAGTTGCGATGTCGAAAAAGTGCACGCCGTTGTGGCGCGTAGCACATTTCGAAGTCAAAATGTACAAAGCACACCATGTTCGGAACACTTTTGGAAGTTGAGATGTCGAAAAAGTGCACGCTGTTGTGGCGCGAATCACATTTCGAAGTCAAAATGTACAAAGCACACCATGTTCGGAGCACTTTTGGAAGTTGAGATGTCGTTTCGCGTGGCAGGCGCACGGGATTGTGCACATTGTCAAGAGTGAGCAAAACGTGAGGGTTTTGTAGCATTTCCAAAAATGATGGCAGGCGTTGGACATTTGAAGAGGATCTGCAAAGATGCAGTTTCCGTGGCAGGTGCAGTACAAGAGACATGTTCTCATCAGATCTTCAGGTTTGCTGAGGTGATTTGCGTGACAGGTGCAGCACTTCGTATGACCTGGCATCACTTTTTTGTGGCAGGCGCAGCAATTTAGACAGATTGACTGGAAACATCGCAAAATGCATTGGTACGTCAGCTCTGCACTCAACTTTTCATTTTTGAAGGATGTCTCGCAAAATTGCTTCGTTTTTGATGTTGTCAACTTAAAAATAGGAAGTCTCGCAGAATTGCTTCGTTTTTGATGTTGTCAACTTTTAAAAATAGGAAGTCTGGCAGAGTTGCTTCGTTTTTGATGTTGTCAAGTGCAAAAATTGAGGAAGTCTCGCTGAATTGCTACGTTTTTGGATGTTGTCAAGTTCAAAAACTAAGGAAGTCTCGCAGAATAGCTTTGTTTTCCATCTTGCAGATAGATAGATAGATAGCTAGATAGATAGATAGGTAGATAGATAGATAGATAGGTAGATAGATAGACAGATAGATAGATAGGTAGGTAGATAGACTAGATAGGTAGATAGATAGCTAGATAGAAAGATAGATACATAGATAGATAGGTAGATAGGTAGATAGTCAGGGAAAGAGAAAGAAAGAGAGAGAAAGAGAGGAGACCTCAACCACCTGTCGGTCCATCAGTGGCTTCGCTCTGCCATCCGTGATTCACAGCAACCAATCTCTCATAGGTTTCCTATTTTTGAAACTTCCGCCACCGCCTTGTGCGGTACTACTGGTACAATACTCATAAACTGGTCATTGGTCAAGTAAGCTTTCAACTCCAACATTCCATACTATCAGATCTGGTATAGCCAGCAGCACGATCTTTTCTGGCCCTCAGAGTAGAAACTGGGGAAGTCCGGTTCTTCTTGTTCGTTGGGCTGCGAGAAATCAAAGATGAACTTTGGGAATTAACTTGATAGCAGCAGATTGAGTGGTAAAGCAGCGTGCCTTCACGCATCGAACCCAAAGTTCACCCAGAAGTCTGGCACCGCAGGCTTCGTAGAATCCTTGAAGTCTGTCGTCCAAATGCACTGCCAGGCCAACTTCGAAAAAAATATTTTTTCAATCGAGAAGTTGCGGACTAAGCCCCAATCTTTCAGCAGCAAGGGCTGTCCGAGAACTTTTTGGATTCGTTTGGTCCCCTACGACCACCATTGGGGGCAGTTTCAGAACGGTTGGCTGATGGCACCACTGATGAAAGTGAGGATGATGGCGCAACCTTCGCAGTCGGTGACCTTGAATCATCCACCCAATGGCTCACGGAATGCAAGGATGCTGAAGCGACTAAATCGTAACCCTTCGAATCAGTCGAAAAAACGAAACACCTTGTTCTTAAAGAAGGCCAAATAACAAATTTTGGGTCCGTTTGCTCCGATTCCGGGCGCTTAACTCACGTTCTGGACGCTATAGGTAGGTGTGACTAGGTTGCTGAGAGTTTCTTTGAAGTGTTGCAGTGGCAGTGCTAGTGCTGATTGTGCAGGTCCAAAACTATTACCATATAATACTCAAGAACTGTGGATCCTGGAGGGTTTAGTTCCAGGGTTAAATATATATATATATTAACATGCGCATCAATCCCAGTAAAATCCCATGAAGATCCCAGTAAAATCCCATTAAGATCCCATTCGCAGTCCATTTTTTCCATACCTTTCAGGCAAGAAACGTCGAAAGCGTCGCGTGGTGGTCGATGCCAAGGAGGTGCCGAAATGGTCCGTTGAGTTCGTTGATTTACCCATTAATAATGGTGATTTGCCATGCGTAGTTATCTTAGTTTACCAGAGGGTAATAAATGTTAATAATAGTGATAAATTCACCCATCATTTTAAAGTACCACTTAACTAACACAGTGATTAATAGTGAATATACACTACAGATGGTGTTGGTGGAGTGATGTTAAATTCAATTGTGATGACGGATACCATGTAACATCATGTAACTCATTATAATTATTTGGTGGTTATATGTTGAGTAATAGTGAGCCAACACCATGTAAATGTCTATTGTAATAGTGAACTAACACCATGTAAATACCACTTTAAATAGTGATGAATGATATACGTCGCTAACATCCGCTTTCTTTTTGCAGATCAGGTTTCCGGTTTCTGGTGGGTTTCCCAATGAAAGTTGGTGACCTCAAGTGCCGTTGGGTGGTTTGGATAGGTGAACTATGCTGAATTTGATCATATTTCATAAATTGATACATAATATCTTTCCATATTATATATATATTATATATATATTATTTGCATAGGTCCGGGGAAACATATGGAAACATCATGTTTGTTCGATGTTTGCTACAATCATATCCATTCATCAAGCCTGGTGCCATCAGGAGGAGGGTGGCGAGGCAAAACCGGAAGCACGGAGCTCAGCTTTGGAGTGAACATGAAGGGTGTCATTTTATGGAGATGTTTGGATGAAATCCACGCTTGGTTGGAAAATTGTGTGTGTATATATATATATATATTCTATTAATATGAAAATTATATAGGTGTATCTATATATACATGCATATATATATATATATATCTATAGTTATATTAATATAGTTTAGTATAGTTTATAATTTGTGTGTTTTCATTGGTAAAATGAACCTTTTTTGTTGATTGTAAGTTATAGGTCTTATAATAGCCGTGATCCTTCACTGTTCAACACTCCCTGGGATGGCACATCAATCTCTTGCTCTGCCAGGCGAGCAGCAAATCCTAAAGGGACGCGTAATTTACTGATTTGTGAAGACAAATCACAGGGGAAACATATGTTCACCACCAAGTGACTACTGATGACTAGTGTCCCTGTGAATTCTGTCCTCAATACATCTAAATTCATTCACGTATTGAAAGACAAATTGCTATGTCGATGATTTTGTCCCTAGACACGGCATGTTGGGCCAAGGATGGCCAAAGGGGCTCCTCCTGAAACCCCCCAAAAAAATTGGAGGTGAAAAGCCAGAAGGTTCCCCATGAATCTGAAGCCCGTTTTTCAGCATGTCCCTTTTAAGTAATGGGGGGTTTCCATAAATGGGGGTATCCAAACATGGTTGGTTTATAATGGAAAATCCCATTCAAATGGATGATTTGGGGGTACCTCTGTTTTCAGGAAACCACCTAATCAACCATAGCCACGGAAAATCATAGTGTTTAGTGACAGTGTATCATGGTAAATCATAAATGACGTGATCCGACGGGTAGAACACCATGAGTCTAGGCCCGCAGACAGTCGTTGGAAATCCCAAAAAAAAGCGGATGTGTTCATGCGAAAACATGCAAAAACTATCCATCAATAGGGATACCTGGTTGGTGGTTTGGAACATTTTTTTTTGTTCCTTCTATTGGGAACAATCATCCCAACTGACTTTCATATTTTTCAGAGGGATTGTTTTACCACCAGCCAGGATACCCTACTGCCAGACTAGATTGCCAGAGGGTACACTTCGCATCAAGATTCTCAACGATTTCGACGATTCCCATCGTATCATTTGCTTGATAAGTTGATTTACGTCATGGATATGGTGTTTCCCAATTTTGCAGACTTGCGTTGCTCCCAATCGATCACTTACTGAGTTTGGTCGCGATTGCTTTGGAAACGAAGCTAATGACCCAACAAAAATGGAGCTATATCCAGCTATAGCCACAGAATGCCACAGATATACTTGAAACATTGTAGCTATACATTGTACCGTTGAAGCGATGATGCCTGCTGTGTTGTTTTGAATGTGTGGCTATGTTCTACCCGTCAGCGCACATATACGGACGAGCGAAGCCTGGTGGGGAATCATCTGGGTCAACATGTTTTTGATTTCGAAAAATAATCGAACAGATATACTATATGGATTTATTTTCAATGATATTTGTGGAACATATTAGTGGGAATCATCGAATTGTTTGAATATTAAATGATATGATATGGAAATGATGTGGAATTACGATGAAGTATGCGATGAATTATGGAAATATGTCTGGAATTGCTCTAATGGAATTCTGGTCATTTGCAGATTTCTTCCGGGTGGAATCTGCTGAATCATTTTTGGTAAAAACCATTGATATATTTTGATATGAGCAATAGGGCCTAGCATTCCAAATGCCTAGCAAAAACCATTGAAAGTTGGGCAAAAACCATGTTTAACCATTGAAAAACACTTATCTTTTGGTAGAAAAACTACCAGTATGTTGAATCCTCATGCCAATCCATGTTTAACCCATGTTTTATCCTCATAAATCTCCATGAAATCATCCAATTGTCATCATTTCTGTAGGTTGTTCACTTTTAATCGGCCTGGCAAAGTCATCCCATGGTTCACTTAGCGTTGCCAGGGCGAGATGCGAGTGGATGACCAGGCGAATGGATTGGTTTGAGGATTGGCATGTATATTATATTCGCCATGGAAGCCATGGTCCATTGAAATAGATGGCTTAGCTATGAAAAATGGTGATGGCTTCCATGGCGAACTGTTAAGTCATAACCAGAGGGTAATATGATATCCATTTTCATGGATAAAGCAATAATGGATTGGATATTAATGGATTGTATTTGATTACGGGATGTGTGCGTATATTTTTTTGTATATATCATTATTGTAATGGATATTAATGGATAATGGATATTTGTACTTAAAGGTATATGAAAAATTGCTGTATTTATCGAGATTTCCGCTGTACTCGCTCCAAGACCTTCACGCAACGCACCGCTGGAGCATCAGCACGTGACACCCGGCAGATAGCACGTGCCACAGTGCAGTGTTGACTTAATGGGATGTGTATAATGGTGTTTAATGAATCTTAATGGATTCTTAAGTCTTAATGGTGTCTTAATGGGATTGAGTGACATTTTGATGAAATGGGATTGCATCATATATTTATATAGAGGGATTCATTCGAATTCAACGGATTTGTTTAAACAAAATGATTTGACAAACAAAATGCTCATTATTACCCCCAAATATGGAGTTTCCCTGGAGATTACCCATCAACAATGCTGGGAAACAGGAGCAATGACCTTCAAAAGGATACCATGCGATCCATAGCCATTATATATATATGTATATTTTTTGTTTTTTTCTATGGGGTCTTCTTTATCCAACGCCACGAATTCATCATCGGTCCTGTCATATTCAATTTCCCATGGATGATCCTATGACCCTGTGGATGGTTGCGAAATCACCAGTTGTAAACATCACGGTGCTAAACATCCCATGGTAAAAAAAACGTTTTGAAAATAGGCTGCTTGGTGGTTTGGAACAGATTTTGTTCATTGTTTTCCATTCAGTTGGGAATAAACAGATCCCAACTGACGAACTCCATCATTTTTCAGAGGGGTAGGCTCAACCACCATCCAGTAGGCTTTCAACATGTTTCAACCATCCTTTTTGGTGGTGCAGGATTTCGCAACCCACCGGTCTGATGGTCCGTCCAGCGGTCTCAGGCGGTGTTGATTGCAGCGGTGGAAGAGCTGGTGTCCTGCTCAGATCGATACCGCTGGGACTGGTTGGGATATTATGACGATTTTTTGGTTGGAATATATGGTTAATTAATAGTTATAGTCATAGTAGATTAATAATATGGATATATTCCTGAGATCAGAATATTATTATTAACCAGGGATATTAATGAAAGGGAATTCATGAGATTGTAATAGTGCTTAATTAATAGTGATTATCCACAACTGGACTGGTTGGTGGTTTGGAACATGATTTTTTATTTTTCCATATATTGGGAATAGTAACCCCCATTGACGAACTCATATTTTTCAGAGGGGTAGGTACACCACCAACCAGATAGTGCTTAATTAATATAGTGATGATTGGTTGGAATATATGGTTAATTAGATGGATCGAAATAATGGTTGCCATGATCCCCAATTAATATTAGGCATACTATTGACTTAATTATGACTTATTAATGCACAATATTGGAAAAAAACAACAATGGTTGATGCTGGTTGATGATGGTCACCAATGATTAAATAATGATGATTAATAGTGGTTATACTGGGATAATGAACCAACAATTTTAGTGATTGATAGTGTATAATACCGCTGTTGGGATAGTTACACTCTGGTAAACCATTTTTTTGTTCGGCAAATCAAGGAACTCAATGGCTATGGCTTCAATAGCTATGTAACAAATTACCAGAGGGTAATTAATTGATAGTGCTTAATAGTGATTATGAATGATTGATAGGGAATTCGCACTGACATTCGATATAATTATCCCGTTGGTGAATGGGATTATAGTGGCTTTACAACGGTTGATACTGGCATATTCAATAGGATATTTGATGGGATATACCTTCCGGTGTCATCAATCATGTCTGGCTTGGACAATCCCCTGTCAATGGAGTTGTTTTTTTTAAATGGAAAAATCATGTATGTATATATATATATCTCTATATTCATATGTATGAATGAATGAAAGATTTCCCAGCAAGCCATGTTCAATTACCATGGCTTATTAGTTGCTTTATTCGGAACTGTCTTTTGGTAGGGAAACTGTCCATGGGATGGCGATTTTTTCCAGATCTTCATCCCTTCCAACTGTGTGGATGGGTACAACACCTTTCTGCTACCCCGTTTGACGATATTTCTGCTGGGAATCTGAATATGACACATGTTCCGTAGTGTTTTTTTTGTTTGGATGTGGCTGATTTTTTTTAGGTACTGTTTTGGACCCACAACCAAAGGCTGTTTGCCCGCGATTTGTCTTCAGATCTGAACATCTTGGTGAAAGTGTCTAGTCTCAAGCCATCAACCTGTTTTTTTTTTTTATAACAGCACCATTTGCTGGTGAACGGTTCTATCCCCACTTTTGACCTGGGTAGACCTTCGTTGAGTAGCTTAGTTTTTGTTGCTATAAATGGATGAACATGGATGAATATTGACCTACTGTAACAAACTAAAAGACAAAGTGGGTGCTCATTGTTATGTTTGTCTGGTAAAAATGGAACGGTTTTAGATGCTGATGAATTGATTCCCCGTTTTGATTCTCAAAATCCGAGCTTGTTGCCATCTCTGCCACAGGCTCCCGGTCAAGCAGAGGCGCCGCAAGCTAGAGTCTATGTAAGGGCTATGTAAGACTGGTTGGTGGTTTCAAACTTGTTTTATTGTCCATTTCATATATGGGATAATCCTTCCCATTGACTATTATTTTTCAAGATTGTTAAAACCACCAAGAAGAGGATATAGCCCCGAAATATGGCAAATTGATGCAGATGAGGTAGACTCTGGAAATTGAGCTGGTAAATCATCATGAAATTGTCGAACTAAATTGGCAATTTCCCATTGCTTTGTTATATAAATAGTCAGAGGGTAATGGTTGAGTTCAATCATTGCAAATTTAAATAGAAGTGGGGATATAGTGCCTTGCATGGGGAAATAGTTGTGGGAGAAATTGCAATCATTGCACGGTTGAATCCATCCAAATAATGTTCCGGAATTACAAAGAGAAACTATAATTTGGGAATGAACCGATTTTTTGTTGTTTCATCACGAGATATATCCAGTACTATTACTAGTCACTATAGTCAATATTCTTATATTTCACAAATGTGGTTTTTGCTTTAAACGGTACATAAAAAGAACGGGGGGAATTTGTACCTGATGATCCCATCCCACTTGCTGAGCGTTTCTCCGCAAGGAGAAACGTCACATTAAGCCAAATTATTGATCTAATATAATGTTACTCCAATTTGAGTGGATAGCGGGTATAGTCAATATTAATAGAATAATTGAGTTGGTAGTATCAACATTCACCAACAACTAACAGCTATCATTGTATATTCAAACCATTTCAACCCTATACTAAGGCTATATAATCTTCAATATTTTTCAAATCCCAAATTATTATAACTAATATATCCAATAATGATCCTCAACAATTCTAATCATAATATGGGTTGATGACTAGGAGCTAGTCAATGTGGGCAAACAATGTTAAAGTTATCGTTGTTAGTGTTAATAAGTTACTTGGGTTATCAACACATGTCAATTCTAACTAGCAATGATAAGTGAGAACAAAACAACATATGAATGTAAAATCTGATTTTTTAAGCGCATGGCGGGCTGGAAAATCTGGATCACGGAGGTTTCTGGAATAGAGCTTCACCTGGAGGAAATCTGGCATTTGTTGCATTGGAAACTTGGAGACTCAAAGGGTTACCGTTGTGCTCCATGGCTTCCTTGACACCCGCAATACGTGGGATTTTCCACCATGTTTAACCAGAGTACCAGGGGTATATGGGATTTCCATGATGACTGGGGGTAGCACAATTTTTAGGAAAACCTCCTATAGCACTTACATAGCACTTACATAGTTCCAAGACCTTCCCATGTCGCAAAACGTGCCCCAGCAGTTTTTGCTGCGCAGGCGAATGCAGCCGAAGCACCTAAGGCCTTGCGAGTCAGAGATGGGGGGGCATCATTTCGTGGGGCATCAACCGGTGAAGAGGCACTGTTTACCCCTTTGGTAATCCAACATAGCCATGGAAAATATGAAGGTTGTTTTTTTCCATCGATAGTCATGGATCATACATAGAAAGTAGTCAAATTTAAATAAACTATGTTAATTCCATTCGTATTTGCAACATGGTCAGATGTGAAAAAACCTCACCATTTTGCTTGCACAATCGTATGCCTATTCGCAATCTTATACTGCAGGATGTTGATTGAACTTATATGTTTAAACTGTTTCGATTCAACGAACATATATATATATACATATCTATATATACATATATACTGAAGTTATATTTGCGGTCACCAATATTGTCCTGTAATGTAAATATTTTTTCGAGGAAAGCATGTTGTCGTAGTATATTATGAGTTGAATTTCGGAATGGTAATGTCAACGGCTGAGTGATCTCCAGCACTAGCTACGGATGCGGATGCCCTAATCACAGTTGACAATTCACCCAGTTTTGTCAAGAAAATGAATTGTAAAATGCACGCAATTCTGATACCTTGATGCCATTGTAGACTTTTTAGTCTTGTTGCACTAAGTTACAATTCCATGTCGATTTCCGAATTGTTTTCCCCATTATGACATGTAGATAAATGTAGCATGATACCAATCGAACTTCATTTGGAGTCGCCATTGTGCCATTGCCATGCAACATGCACACCCTCTTTTTTGGAGGGTTTACCAGTGGGATATTCTTCAATTTCTAACTCCGAATGATAGTCATTGATATACCGATATACCATTGATATCCCATTCCAGTTAGGACATCATCACTCTGCACCCTTAAGATATGTAACGGCCTTCCTGTTGATATCGGTTTTCAGGATTTTCGTTCTTGCATCTTTGATGCTAACAACTCAAAACATTAAAGCTGTTTTTCAGGAGTTTCGATTTCCTGTGCCAAAGAATCGCCTGCGGTGGCCAAATCTTGGCCCCAGCGGTCGTGCGCGCGAGCAAACGATGCCGAAGGTGACGTAGGCGCCTCAAAGCTCCACCCGAGGCGGATCGTGTCTCTCCACTGACACAGGAGTGTCTCTCCATATTTCTCGGAGAAGGCATGGCTTCAACAAGCCTTCAACCAGTTCAAGGAGCTGAACGAAGTGGCGTCGGAGTGTTACCCGTTGAGTATCCCAGCTGAGGGGTTCATTGTAATTATCCCCATGCCAATATCCCATTGAACACCCGTTATATAAATCCCACTAGCCACTAGCCGCAGCCCGATTATCCCATTGAAATCCCACAATCCATGGATATCCCATGATTTCATCTCCCCAAAAATCATTCGCAAAAAAAGCATGAAATCCCATGGGAAATTCATTAAAGGCTCATGAATTCCTAAACTTCATTCACCAGCCCTAAGATATGGGTATGTCAATAGGATATACCCGAAAATCGTCCTTTTGAATGGGAACATGGTCATAAACCATCGGATTGGATTTTGATGTACTCGTACCTTATGTTCAGACAAACCCATACGTCATCCCCTAAATCATGTCCCTATTGAAATGGTGATTTCTTGGTATCCCCTATTTTCCGACAAACCACCAGAGAATCTGGTAGATCGCCAAAACGGTATTTCATAGGATTGCTATATTAGCATACCATTGTTATTTTTCATAACAATGTTCATCTCCGATAGCATGGGTTATTTTTTGAAATTGATATACCTTAATTTTCATAACCAAGCCAATGGCGGCATATTAATATATGATACATCCAACTGGTATAGCATATCTTGACCATAGATTGGCATATCCAACATGAATATCCAACTACTATACCAAATGTTTTGTATCCATACTATATTATTATTATTAACCATAGTATATGATATGACCATAGTATATGATATGACCATAGTATATGACATGATCATAGTTGGATATTAAATCATAAGCATATATAATCATATATCTTTACTACACATCTATACCAACTATGGTCATATCATATACTATGGTTATATCCAAATACTTTCCAAGTAATAGTTGCTATATACCATAGTATATCCAAGTAGTAAGTTACTATACCAAATTTTCTGTTCATCTCCGTTGTCACCAGACCAAGCGGCGCCGGAAGCGAAAGATCGCCGCTGCTGAGGCAACGGTTAGAAGTCATCCACTGGGGCCAAGTCATCCAAAAATCACGTGGATGTAGACGTCAAGCAGCAGTAAATGAGGCTTTCACCAGCAAAATGGTGATTTTCTCATGGTGAGATGATGATCATTGAATTGTGATAAACTGTGGTTTCATGATATTTAACGGGAATAATGGGATCATTTTTGCAGGGCTATGGTCCTTTGGTTGAAAAATCAAGGAATCGCTTTTTGCACATCAAACTAGCTGGGATTTATCTTGGTTCATCCTTCCAACCTATTGTCATAGTAGGTGTTGGTCCATACACCCGGATAGAGTTTTCAGAAAACAACAATGATACAACATGTTCTTTTTTGGGGGAATTAACATGAATACACTCCATGTTCTCGGCATTTGATGTGGGTAATTCATCTCTTTGTTGAGGATAAAAATCTGCAGTCTGCTAGAGGTATTGATCCACATTCACCGGGGTGGCGTTTGGCTCGACTGGCTGGATTGTCCAGCCAGTAATTTGGGATATTTGGGAATGGTGAATTGCCATTGTGAGATGGATGACATATGGATGACCAAAAAAATCATAGAAAAAAAACATGTCATTTAACCATGGCACATATGGGATTTCATTCAAACAACAATATCATGGGGCTGGTGGTTTGGAACATTTGGATTGTGTTTCCATTCAGTTGGGAAGAATACTCCCAACTGACGAACGCATATTTTTCAGAGGGATTGGCTGCGCCAGTCCAGTTTGGTACCGTAAATTAGTGTACTTCTTGTCATTATTCCCAACAATAGGATAAGAACAGCGGCCATTTTTCTGGCACTTCTGGTGAAATATAGGACGGTTGATTCTCAACGATAGGTAATGACTGGAAAACTGATTGCAACGTTTGAGTAATACAATTTTTCATTTTGGCCGGTTCAAAACAAGATTTTCATGGGTATTTCAATGTGCACGCCAGTTTTATAGTAATTAGTTGCTCAACAACATTGAACTTGAGGTAACATCCCATGGTCGACTTAGCGATTTTAATTTTATCGATTACAACATATATACATATATATATAACCACATGCAGGATCCAGATAATTTACATTGATGCTTCACCGGGATGTCACTGGAACGATGGATAGTGGTAGGGGGTAACTATCCCCAGAAAAAAAAAACATTTCGGCTTTGTGAATTGTTACTATTTATCCAGAAGTATCTGCTTCAGGATGGATACACATACACACAGAGGATCATTTTTTCGGACCCCTCCAAGAAAAAAATGACCGCCCCGAATCGAGTTTGGTCGTATAAGTAGGATACCCTTAAACTCACTGGTGTGTTACCATTTTTCCCACTAAAAGGCAGTTATTCAAGTGAGTAAACAGTTCTTTATTGACTATGAAATAGCGATAACTCCACTAATT